GGGCGGAGTCCAGTCTCAGGCCTGCAAATCACCCCAATCCAGCTTCACAGTGCGAAACCGAAACGCTCGGAGTCTAAAACGAGCCCCAAGTGTTGAGTTTCTGCTTCTTAGTTTAGTTCTCTGGACTCTGGTGTGGTCAGAGGCTCAGATATTGATGGTTTCTGTCAGAGTTTAACCAGCAACTGCTTTCAGACCAGACAGGAACAGACTCAGTCCGGACTCAGCAGAACCGGATGGTCAGATGGTCTCCATCTGAATAAAAACACAAAAGAAAACACTTTATAAAGAGTTCCTCTGCTTTATTTTAGAGTTTTTCTGCTTTATTTAGGGTTTTTCTTCTTTATTTGACTGTCTTTCTGCTTTATTTAGTGGTTTCTACTTTTAGTGTTTTTCTCCTTCTCGTGTTTTTCTGCTTTATTTTACTTTTTTTGGCTTTATTGTAGTTCTTTGGACTCTTATGGTGATGTGTTCTTCTGCCCCCCCCCTGTCTCTCTTAGTCTGACTACCATCGGAGCTGGAGGCCGGACCGTCCTCTGGGCTACCTCCCACTCAGCGAGCTGGACAGCGGTCTGGGCTGTGGCCCGGACAGCCCCCACCACCGGGTGGCGCTCTCGGAGGCGGAGACGGACGCCATGTCCTCCCTCCCGGGCCACACCCCCTCCTCCCAGGGCTCCTCCTCCTCCTCCGAGTCCCTCATCTCCTCGGAGCCCAGCGACTCGGGCTTCCACAGCGTCAGCACCGGCGAGCACCGCCGGCTGCACGCAGGCCACGCCCACCGCCAGCCGCCACGCCCGGGCCACTCCCCCCGGGAGCAGAGAGGACGCTGGGACCTGGAGTCCATCCCTGAGACCAGCCAGATGGGCCACAGCCGGGCGCCGCCGGCCTCCCGCTGCTCAGTGGGCAACAGCACCACCACCACCGTCCACTTCCACCGGGCCGAGCGGAGCCCCACTTTACCCCGCCACCACTCGCCGCCATCCCCCTCCATCGGTGAGCAAAACCGCCAAAGAGAGGCTTCAAATGCCAACAAACCAGGGATTTGGGGCTCTGGTGGACCCGCTGGACGCCATAGAATCGGAAAGGCTTCACTTAGTTCCTGTCCAATTATGAAGCTTTCGTTTAGAAACACTTCCAGGGGGTTCAGACTCTGGACAGTAAAACTGCCAAAAAGAGGCTTCAAATGCCAACAAACCAGGGATTCCAAATATCTGCTTCAGGCTCCACAAACAGCCTCAGAAATCCTGCCTTACCTTTGCTGTCCTGCTTACAGAAACCAAATCAAAGCACATTTAGGGAACAACTCCCCCCAGAAAGCTCTGAGAGCAGTCTGCTGTGAAAGCAGGATTTCCTGCTCAGTTCCAGCTAGATACAGAGATCTGATTGGACGAGGTCATGTCAGCCTGATTCTATTGGAGGAGAGGATTCAAACCAGGGCTCAGCCACACAAACTGGCCAATGGGAGCAGGGCTGCTGTCCCATGTGACCTGAGAAAGGAGAGGATACTGTGTATGAATCCCAAGATGATCTTACCTTTAATTAATCAACGCTATATTATTAGAAAGCGATTTAGATTTTGGTCTCCCTGTTTTACTTTTTAGGTTAGTGGAGTAAAATTTGTTCTTGAAACTAACTAAGTTCTGCTGTTTGCAGGCTGTCAAACTGAACCCTGCCAGCGGAGGGCGCTGTGGTTGGACCAGCAGCGGCAGCAGCATCGGGGATGTGGGACCATGGAGGCTCCAGGGAGGAGCCAGACCATAACAGACCTGAGCGAGGGGCAGCGCCGCCGCAGGGCGAGTCACCCCCACACCACGGACCCCAACGGCCCCAGAAACGCCCACCAGAACAGCCACCCCGGCCCCGGCCCCGGCCCCGGCCCCGGCCCCGGCCCTGGCCCCGGACCCGGCCCCGGCCGCCATGCCGCGGCGCCGAGGAGCCGGGCCAGCTACCCCAGCCACTGTCACCCTCCAGGGGTGGACAGAAGGAGCCTGAGAAGCCACCAGAACTCCCCGCGGAACAGCCAGAGCTCAAATCGGAGCAGGGAGGAGGATGCCCTCTCTAAGAGTCCTGGATCTGGCTCCAGCGGGGTGTCGGACTGGCGAGGCTTTCAGACACTCGGCAGTCTCACGGAGAAGCCGAAGGGCTCCTGCGCATCTTTCTACAGCACTCTCGGAGCCCCGCAGCGCAGCGCTCGCTCTCCACCTTCTCCCCGCTCCAGGCTGTCCAATCAGAAGTCAGTCAGGAATCAGCTGCTCCGAGCCAGAGCTTACCGACTGGCCAGGGAGCGCAGCGAGGTCACCACGGACGAGGAGGTTCGAGGAGAGGGGTCCAGAGAGGGAGAGGAGGAGGGCGAGGACGGCCGGTGGGCGGGGCGATACTGGAACCGGACGGAGAGGCGGCGCCACATGGCGCTCTCCCGCCAGCACAGGGAGAGGAAGGGCGGAGGGGAGGAGCTGACGGGTGGGTGCATGGGGGCGATGTCGTCCCAGATGGTGCTGGAGCTGAGCCACATGAAGCAGAACCGGCTGAGGAACAGCAAGCTGCTGGACGACTGGACCACAGTGGAGGAGCTGCTGACCCACGGCACGCGAGTGGAGAGCGACAGCCAGCTCTGTCCCAGCCCTCTGCTGTCGGTCACCACCGTCTGAGAGCGCCCTCAT